TCCTCTCTCCTTGAGCCTCCATGAGGCCCTGGACAGAGGCCACTGGGATCAAGCTGTCAACAACTCAGAGCATTTTCTAACCAGGAGCAAAGATTCCTGGGAGACTCTGAGATACATAGCGATTTTTCTTGGGCACTGGAACCAGCTAAAATATTTCCTAATTCTCTTTGTGTGAAAGCTCTGGAGGAAACCTTGAGTCTCATGGGCAAAGTCTGTGTTTATATCACATAAGTGAAACTTGATTTAAACAGCCCCACAGGACACGCCTTCCCCTTCTCTCTTGACTGTGAGCAAATTTTCATTATTTTCTTGTCTTTCTGCACCAAATCCTAGAAAACGAGTGAGAAGGGAATGTTCTCACTGCTGTCTCAAGTGCATTTCAACCCTGCTCTCTAGCTTCAAAATAATTTTCCTGACAGCTTCCAACCTGGTTGCAAACCAACAGACAGCTGGACGTGCCAGGAAATTATGCCCACAGATTTCCTTCTGAAACGTTTCATTTTTCTGGTTGTTGTTGTTGTTGTTATGTGCCATCGAGTCGTTTCCGACTCATAGCGGCCCTATGCACAACAGCTCTAAACCCTGCTCTATCCTGCGCCAACCGCACCGCCTCTGACACACCCATCCCGATTACCCCAGTCACCGAATCAATCCATCTCATAGAGGGTCTTCCCCTCCTGCGCTGTCCCTCCACCCTCCCAAGCATGATGTCCCTCTCCAAGGACCCGTCCCTCCTGGCAACATGTCCAAAGTATGTCAGACGAAGCCCCAGAATCCTTGCCTCCAAGGAGCAGCTTGGTTTAATCCTCTCCAAGATGGATCTGTTTGTTTCCCTGGCAGCCCAGGGTACATTCAGTACCCTTCTCCAGCACCACAGCTCAAAAGCATCCACTCTCTTTCTGTCCTCCCTAGTCATTGTCCAACTCTCTGATGCATAACAAGCGATTGCAAATACCATGACCTGTATCGGGCGCACCTTAGTCTCCAGAGAGACACCGTTGCTCCTGAGTACGTTTGAGAGGTCCCTAACGGCAGACTTTCCCATCGCGATACGCTTTTTGATTTCCTGACTGCTGGTACCAAGAGTGTTAACTGTGGAGCCGAGCAAAGTGAAGCTGTGAACACTCTCAATATCTTCATCATCCATCCTGACGCTGCCAATTGGTCCAGTGGCGAGAATCTTTGTCTTCTTGACGTTGAGCCTTAGTCCATACTGAAGGCTGCAGTCCTTGACCCTTCGCAGCAAGTGCATGAGGTCCTCCTCAGTTTCAGCATTTTTCTGGTAGTGGAGTGTAATGTCAGCACTTGGAGATTCTCTGCTTATTTCTTTAAGTTCCCCTCCTCCCAATTTGATTACGAAATTTGATCTCCTTCTGGGCTGGTCTGGAGTCCAGAGACAATGCAAATAATTTATGTGCTAAAAAGTTGCATGTTCTGGTCCACCCAGAGGCATCTTGGAAGAAAGGGCTGGTGATCTGCTTTGGAAATATCCACCACTGAACAGTCTGTGGAGCTTTGACCTCCTGTGACGTGCATGGGGTCTGTATGTCAGAATCAACTTGATAGAATCAACTTGGGATGACGTAGGCTGGCTTTTATAGAGAGCCTACTTTCAAAGTGCTTACCTTTCCCCCGTGTAATTACCATGAAGCTTCTTCATCATGTTGTGCTGTGATCTCTGTGTGGTGTATGCTGGTACATGAATGTCATGGGCAGTCATGAGCTGTGCGCTTCATAAGATGCTTTCTGACAGGTACACTGAATAGGCAGCTTTCCATGCATCTCTCTTGTCCCTGACAATCTCTGGCAGCATGGTGATTTAAATTCCTCCCCACAGGTGCACACTTATCTGCCTGACAGAGGTAAATCTGGCTGGGAGAGGACCTGGTTTTATTCTCTGAGGTCACAGGTACAGTTGTTTTTTTCAAAGTTCTGCCAGAAGTTACTTTAATATTCAGAGGAAACCCCTCATATGATGTGGCCTTAACCACCGTGGTGGTGGTAGTGGTGTTGTTAGGTGCCATCAAGTTTTAGATGACTCATAGCAACCCTATGAACTAAAGGCCTGAGCACTGTCCATAGAATTTCCCGAGGCAAGCCATTTCAGAAGTGGAAGCCATTCTTGCTTCCAGGCTTGTTTTAATTGGGAAGCTCCCGCAAACACTGTCCACCATGGGTAACCATTACCACATTTGGCACATCACTGTCACAGTGTTCAGCATCACAGCAACCACGAGTTACCTCTGTACAGCAATGCACAGACCAGTGCTATACCACCTAGAAGAATGTTTGACAGAAAAACAATTTGAACCAGGCCTGAGAACTGCAGATTAAAATCACCCACCTTCAGCTTGGTAGCATAACTTTCTGTCCACTAGGCCAACATAGCTCTCTCTAGGTCCTCGTTGTTATTGTTTGATGCCGTCGAGTCATAGACAACTCATAGCGACTCTATAAACAAAAGGCCTGAGCACTGTTCGTACATAGAGTTTCGGGAGGCAAGCCATTTTGGAAGTGGATGCCACTCCTGCTCCCAGGCTTGTTTTAATTGGGAAGCTCCATCAAACACTGTCCACCATGGGTGACCATTATCACATTTGACACATCCGTGCCACAGTGTTTAGCAGCACAGCAACCACGAGCTACCTCCGTACAACAAGTGAACAGATCAGTGTTATGAATGTTTGACCAAAAACAATTGAAACTGACCTGAGGGCTACAGATTAAAATCATCCACCTTTGGATTGGTAGCATCACTTTCTGTCCACTAGGCCAACTAAGCTCTATGTTGTTGTTAAATGTTGTCAAGTTGTAGACAACTCATAGAGACCCTATGAATGAAAGACCTGAACACTTGTGTAACTTTCATCGTTTCTCCAAGTCCATGGGGTTTTCGGAGGCAAAAAAAAAAAAAAATTAGTAGAAACAAATTTCTAGAGTGAAAATGAGCATATTTTAATGGATGATAAAATTGAGGCTAGAAAAGGCAAGTACCTTGATCACAGTCATGGGATCTAGATCTAGGAGCAGAGGTGGGACTAGAGCTGCAGCCTTGTGTCTCTTGACTCCCAATCCGCGTGTAGTCTGCTCAGCACACTGCTTCCCGATGATTCCCTGGGCTCAAAGCCAGGGGCTGATGAAACAATACCTTGGAGCATCTATGAAGCACACATTCTGAGATGTTACAGAAGGATTTATGCAAGCCTTTAATATGCTATTGTTTATTGAAGGGCTGAGAAAAATAAGCAATACAGAGTGAGTTCTGGTGGCTTAGTGATAAGGAATTGTTTTGCCAAAGCAAAGGTATGTGATTCAAATCCACCAGTTGTTCAACAACAGCAACATCACTACACACACACACGCATGTATATTTACCATCATGTATGTGTTTACCACAAGCCCCTTACTGTTGCTGTTATTGAGACTTTAAGTACCCCTTAGTCTGGGCATGCTATATTGGGAACAAACTTTACAAGGGATTATAAGGTGGAGGGTTGGCAAAGGAGAAGATCTTCCACGGGAGAGACTGATGCAGTGGCTACAACAATGGCTTGGGCATGGCAGAGATGGTGAGGGTGGCACAGGATTAGGCAGAGTCTCTGTCATCCACTGTGTTGTCTGTGAGTCAGAGCTGACTTGAAAGCACCTAAAAACAACAACAACAACAAAACACGCCTGACGCGTCTTGGTCTTTCCAATTGCCTCATATCAATGTGAAAGTTGTGATGCCTTTGGACTGTGATAATGGTGAAGGATATTGAATACACTATGACCAGCCAAAAGTAATCTGCATCAGAAATGCAACCGGGGTGATCCTTAGGAGCAAATATGGGGACATTTTGTCTCTCATGCTTTGGGCAGGTTGTCAGGAGGAATTAGTCCTTGGAAAAGGGCACCATGATTAGATAGGTGGAGAGTCAGAAAAAGAAAGGGAGCTCCTCAAGAGGAGGATTGACACTGTGACGGCAGCAATGGGCTTGAGCGTGGCAAACCTGTGAGGATGGCGCCGGACAAGGCAAGGTTCTGATTGGCTGTACAGAGTCGCTGTGAGTCAGAGTCAAACAGCAGCACACTTTAGGAAAAGCAGCCCGAGAGGAAGTAAGATCCCTTGTATTTCTGGGGACAGGGATGGAAGGGAAGTGGAAGTGGACAGGTTATTTCTATTGCTTTCACTTCCATGGCAAACCTTGGTGTGCACAAAGCAGTCCTTCCACCCCATGCATAGCTCTCAGGGTTGACGGTGTGCATGTGTCAAGGGGCCATGCCTGGTATGCCAGGGTCTTGGTGTCTGATGGTGAGGCCAGAGAGCCTTGAGCCCAAGCTATGGCATCAGAGGTTCCCAGTGGTGCCTAGCAGCTCCTGCCAGTTCAAGAGCCTTCTCTCCCTTGTGCTCTCTCCCTGGATGCTCTAGGATTCTGGCAGTCAGTGCAAAATCATAACCCAAGGAATACGAGGGAGGTGATATCCGTAAAAAAAAATGGAATTCCAAGAAAAATCAGGGTCTATTTATGTCACAGGATTTGGTCAAGAGAAAGGCCAACCAACTTTCCTACTTCTACTTTCCAGGACAGTGAAATATATTCTCACAGAAATACATATTGGTGAAATATATTTTACAGGACACCCACCAACTTTATAGACAGAAGCAAAACACAGCAATCCCTTTGCAATCCAAACCCTTTATTGGAGCTATCCTCCTCACACCAGCAGTGCTTGCATCATGCCAATGGTGCCTGCAAGCTTTCCTGGATATGTGCGGACAGGCACACTCCGCTTTTTGCTGGTACAGTACAAGTGAATGCAACGACTTGCAGTAGCTGCCCTCTGAGCAAATGATTCCCTGTGACCAGGGGGCATTGTGGTGGGGCTGGAGCAGAGGCCAGGACCCTGGTGCTTCTCTGTGGCTAGGTGCCTTTTTCTCCCTGGCTCCCTGACACTGTGTGTAGTCCCTAATGCAATGGCACCATGGAGCACCCCTGTGGGGCCACTGTAGGCTGCTTCCCCCTGCACCACCATGCACACGGCCCCACATGGCTTTAGACTTCCTTCCGCAGCAGCACTTTGATGCTGCTGCAGATCTGACCCATGGCAGCGAAGAGTGGGTTGCAGAAGGTACGGATGCAGAGGGAATAGATGTGGCTGATGCATTGGATTTCTATCAGGTAGCTCTTGATGCAAGGCACCACTGCCCAGATATGGCAGAAGGAGATGCAGGCAAACAGGAAGCCCCAGAGCAGGGCAAGCGGCACGCCTAGAAGTGTGGAGAGCAGGCGGTAGCACCAGTATTTGGAGACGGTGAAGGTGGTATAGCTGACCTTCCACACTCCATCAAAACTGTAGGTGCCCACAGGCTCAGCGATCACGTCTTCAAAGTCCACCTGCAGAGGCAGAAAGAGAATCCTCAGTCAGCATATTCCCTTCTAGACCTAATGCTCAACTTTTTCCTGATGTGTGTTAGCATCACCAAGAGCATGTGTGTGCGTGCGTGCGTGCGTGTGTGTGTGTGTGTGTGTGTGAGAGAGAGAGCGAGAGAGAGAACGCTTGTTAAATACAGATGATTGCACCCCATCCCCAGGGATTCTGCTTACACAGGGCTGGGGTGAAGCCCCAGGGTTTACATTTTAATCTGTTTCTTAGGAAAGCTCTTGCTACTGGTTTTTGAACTACCTACAACTACTTTAAACTGACTGGCAGAGAGTTACCACAAAGAGCTTGTCTAAGCCTTCACTTTGCTGGGAAATACCCTGACAAGTTCAGTTAGTGGCAGAGCTTCAATCCAAACCAAACCCACTGTCTATTTCTTTTTCGTTTTTATTTTATATTGACTTGCCTACAAAGAAACTTACTGCTTTTCAATCAATTCTAACTCATAGTGACCTTTTAGGACAATGAAATGTCCAATAAAACTTCCCAAGGTTTATGGAGGCAGACTGCCATATCCTTCTCCCTCGAAGCAACTGGTGGTTCCAAGCCCAAATTTCAGTTAGTTTCTGAGGGATTTAACCACTGCATCATCAGGGCTCCTTAAGTTAAAAGAACAGCTCAGAGATTCTATTAATTTATTACCGTAAAGTTATTCAAGTGTTCAGGTCTTTCGTTCATAGGGTCGCTCTGAGTCATCTATGACTCAATGGCACTTAAAACAACAAGGTGTCTTAGTGATAAGGATCTGCACTGTCAATCTAAAGGTTCACAATTCAAACCCACAAGCTGCTCTATGGTAGAAGGAGGGGCAGTCTCCTCCTATGCTATTTATAGCCTCTGAAAAACCACTGGAGGCTCAACTAGTAGTTCCAACCTGACAGTATAGAGCAACAACAACAAGGTAGTCAGACAAAATACTGCTTACAAAAGTTTACTGAGCGACTTCGAATTCTGACAGAGACCTTATTGAATTTGTTGTTACATACTGTCAAGTTGGATACAACTCACAGTGACTCTATGAACAACAGCTCTGAACCCTGTCCTATCCGGTGCCATTTCCACCATCTGTAACATACTTGAGCTGATCAGTGCAGTGTGTCAGGCCACCTGGTTGAGGGTTTCTTCTTCACTGTTCCTCTACCTTTCCGAGCATGATGTCTCTCTCTAAGGGATAGACTCTCCTAGCAACATGCCCAAAGTATGAGATGAAGCCTTATCATCTTGGCCTCCAAGGAACACTCTGGCTGCAACCTCTCCATGACTTATCAGTTTGTTCTATTGGCAGTCCATGGCATAATCACAATTCCTTTCCAACACCACAGTACAAAGCCTTCAGTTCTTCACTTGTGATCCTTATTCATTGTCCAGTTCTCAGATGCATAGCAAGTGACAAAAAAGACCGTAACCTGAGTCAGACGTACCTTAGTCCTCAAAAAGACCATAACCTGAATCAGATGTACCTTAGTCCTCAAACTTAATATTGCTCCTCAATAATTTGGAGAGGTCCCTGAATTCAGACTTTCCCAGTGCAATATGTCTCCTGATCTCCTGACTGCTGATATCAAGAGTGTTGTTGGAGATTCAAGTAAGATGAAGTTGTTGACAGTTTCAATCTTTTCTCCATCTATCATGATGTTGCCCATCTGTCCAGTGATGAGAATATTTGCCTTCTTGATTTTAAGATGCAGTCCATTTTGAGGGCTGCAGTCTTTGATCTTCTGCAGCATGTGCTTCAGGTCCTCCTCACTTTAAGCAAGTGAAGTTGTATCATCCACATAATGAAGGTTATTGATGAGTCTTTTTCCAACCCTGATACCACATTCTTCTTCATAGAGCCCAGCTTCTCAAATAATTTGCTTAGTATACAGATGGCTTTGAGCTGTGGTGTTGGAGAAGAGTATTGAATGTACCATGGACTGCCAAGAAAACAAACAGATTCATCCTGAAGAGGGTTAAGCCAGGCTGCTTCTTGGAGGCAACGATTCTGGGGCTTTATCTGACATACTTTGGGCATGTTGTAAGGAGGGACAGGTCCTTGTAGAGGGACATCATGCTTGGGAGGGTGAAGGGATGGCGCAAGAGAAGACCCTCTATGAGGTGGATTGATTCAGTGACTGGGGTAATTGGGATGCGTGTGTCAGAAGCAGTGCGACTGGCACAGGATAGAGCAGGGTTTAGGGCTGTTGTACATAGGGTCACTATGAGTCACAAGTGACTCGACGGCACATAACAACAACAACAACAATACAGACAAAGTAAGTATGGAGAAAATTTACAGCTCTGACACATAATTTTCCTAAATTTAAACCATCTAGGGGTCCTTTACTCTGTTTCCACACTAGCCTCTTGGGAGACCATGAGAGGTGCAAATAATGGCAGTTAGAATCCACCCAGATGCCACCCAGCTAAAAAGCCTGTTGATGTGCCTCAGTGAAAATTACAGACAAGAAGACCCTGTGGAGCAGGGTAACACATGGGGTACCATGAGTTACAATTAACACGACAGTGGGTGACTTGGGGACCCCTGTCCATAATTTTCCCAGAGAATAGATTGTCCTCAGAAAAAACATTCTGATTCACCATTTGATGGCATTGCCCTTTATTCCCCTTTTTTTAAAAAAATTAATTTTAATGAAAGTTTACAGAGACTTACTTACAGTTTCCATTCATTCATTCATTCATTCATTCATTGTTGCACTTTTCTTCCCATCCACCCTTCTCCCCAAGTTCACTCTTCTCTTTGAAACGTTGCTGTTGTTGTTGTTATGTGCTGTCGAGTCACTTGTGACTCATAGCGACCCTATGTACAACCGCCCTAAACTCTGCTCTGTCCTGTGCCAGTAGCACTGTCTCTGACACTCCCATCCTGATTATCCTAGTCACTGAATCAATCCACCTCATAGAGGGCCTTCCCCTCCTGCACTGTCCCTCCACCCTCCCAAGCATGATGTCCTTCTCCAAG